CTGAGTCCTTGGAAGAGCAGCCAGTGCTCTTAACTGCTGAGCCTCCTGTCCAGCCTCTAAAGACATTTAAACAGCAAATTTCATAGTAAACATTTAAATAACTAGAAGACTACAAAAAGCAGGCCACTTTGCAATTCCATTAGTCAAAAGGTCTTCTGTTGCAATTACCTTCTGTGAAAAACCAAAATGATACAACATAGTGTCAGAAACAGATACTCAAACTCAACAGAGTAGACCTCAAAGACAAATAAAGAACCTTATTTTTTCAAAATCAGAAGTGCTAAAACTGAGAATTTTCAACCAACCCGGCTCTTGCTCCAGTAAGGCCATTAACCAATGAGTCGCCATTATAAACCCACAAGGCACTCTTCCTGAAATCTGCTTATATCAAGAGATGGTATCACAATGGTCATCCTCTCATTTCATCAAATGCATACAAAAAAAAGGACAATTAAGAATTCAAGTAAGCACCAGGAATATGAAGTTAGAACCATAGTTCCACTTAAATATAAAAGACATATCCTTTTATACTTGACAGAGCTGAAGTCATTATAATTAAATATAATAACAAATGTGCATGACTGCATTCCTAGCACTCTGGACATTATGATGGGAGAATCCCATGCCTGAACTATGTATGGATTTTCAACTGAGGAGGGAGCTTAGGAGCAGAGCATTTATTTACCTACCATGCAGAAAGCCCTGGGTTAGAACCCCAGCACTGAAAGAGTAAAATAAACAAAAAACATGCCTGCATTCTCAGAGCTGGGGAGACTGAGGCAGGAGAATCACAAGTTCAATACCACTCTAAGCTATATATAGAGTTCCAAGCTAGTCTTGAGATACACAAACAACATGGGAGGTGGAGACAGAAAACTGTCCCAAAGCTCCAGTCTATAATAGGCTGCAGTGCCACAAACAAGAGACCCTGCCACAAAAATGCAATTCAAAAGGCAAGAACTAGCTCTTGAAAGCTATACTCTGATTCCTATACCATGATATTCATCTCTCTCTCTCTCTCTCTCTCTCTCTCTCTCTCTCTCTCTCTCTCTCTCTCTCTCTCTCTCTCTACACACACACACACACACACACACACACACACACACACACACTGAGGCATGACACTTGGCAGCTAACAATTTTTTTTTAATTTGTTGTTTTTGTTTTTTGAGACAGGGTTCTCTGTGTAGCCCTGGTTGTCTTGGAACTTGCTCTGTAGACCAGGCTGGCCTTGAATTCACAGAGATCCATCTGCCTCTGCTTCCTGAGGGCTAGGATTGAAGGCGTACCATTCCTTGCTCTTGCAGAGGACCCAGGATTGATTTCCGGCACCTACATGGTTGGCTCCCAACCATCTGTAACTCTACTTCCAAGGGACCTGATACCTTCTTCGGACCTCCAAGTATACCAGGAGCACATGCATACATGTGAAAACAAGCAGGCAAAACACTCAGACACATACAATTAATCATTTCTTTTTTTTTTTTTTTTTTTTTTGGTTTTTCGAGACACGGTTTCTCTGTGGCTTTGGAGGTTGTCCTGGAGCTCACTCTGTAGACCTGGCCTCAAACTCACAGAGATCCTTCCAAGCGCTGGGATTAAAGATGTTCACTACCAACTCCCAGCTAGATCACAAAGTATTTAAACAGGGACAAATCTGTAAACCAGTTTCTACTATAGAAAGTTATCATGTTGCTAAATCTACCTCAATAAATGTTATATTCAAGTATTAAACTAGTCCCCTTTCATTTTCCAGTTGTTAGGGCAGAGGACTAAAAAGACATATTAAAACATAGTCTAAGGGCCATTCACAATAGGAAAAACCAAAACTTACATAAATTAGATATTTTTATTTATTGTGTGCATGTGTATGCACTCTGTACACACATGCCAAAAACCACATGTAGACATTAGAGGACAACTTGCAGGTGGTCCTCTCCTTCCACAATGAAGGTTCAGGGAACCAAACTCAGGTCATTACACTTGGCAGCAAGCACACTAGCTCCTGAGATATCCTGCCAGCCCAATTAGAACTTCACAGACACCCCCATGTACTCCCAACTTAACAAAAATTTAAAGACTAATTACAAATGTACCATGTATCTTTTATCGGGGAAAAGAAATCTTTTAATGTATTTTTAGTACAGGAATATTTTTAAGTACTTGATTTATAAAAGGGTTTTTTTTTAAAGGTTTCATTTGGTCCTTAGCCATTACCTTTGTATACTAAAGAAGCTGAGGTCCGTATTAGTAAGACAATTGCTCTACAACCTATACATTACATTGCTCAACACTACCAAACCTTTCCCAAAAGACTGAGTCTATCCTATTAACTAAACTATTATAAGTTGTCTGAAACATCACCAAAGTTCTGAAAATCTTTTTCCTGCACAGTAAAAACGTCCACCTTCAACGGGACTTTTCATTTGCCACATGTCTTGAACTGTGTGACATTAATTAACAATCATTCTTAGATTCCCATGATAGACTCTATTATTATCAATCCTCTTAGCAACTATATCAATGGTAAGCTGTGGCTGAGTTAAATGATTCCTTTTAGTCCACCTTCTTCCCCATTTTTGCTTAGCTGATGACCCAGAGCTCAACACTAGACGTATCAAAGCATCCCTAATATTTTTCTTCCAGTACTAATACAAAGTAAGCACACTGCTCAAAATTTAAAGGAATGAAAGCTTATCTACTATTCAAACTGCAATGGCACCCCCAAAAAAAAAACCTATGCCTGCCTCTTAACTCAGTCCAAATAAATTCTAAAAACAATTTACCACTAATTTCCCCTAAAATTCTCACATTTTCTCTCTGACAAATAAAATACTATTATTTCTAAAGTATCCTGAAATTAACTTAAGGCATCACACTTCACAGTGACTACTTTCTTCAAGTATGTAAATACAGGGTGGCGGCGCACACCTTTAGTCCCAGCACTCGAGAGGCAGAGGCAGGCGGATCTCTGAGTTCGTGGCCAGCATGGTCTATAAAGCTACACAGAGAAACCCTGTCTCGAAAAACCAAAAATTAAATTAAATTTTAAAAAGAATGTAAATATAATTTAATAACGAAATGAATACACTGGAAGCTTAATGTTTGAAGAAATTCAGCAGAAAGTCTTAATATAAAGTAATTTAATCACCCTCCAATTTCATAGTTTAAAAAATTAGCCCTTTGTTGGTGGCACCCGCCTTTAATCCTAGCACTCGGGAGGCAGAGGCAGGCGGATCTCTGTGAGTTCGAGGCCAGCCTGGTCAACAGAGCGAGTTCCAGGACAGCCTCTAAAACAATACGGAGAAACCCTGTCTCGGAAAAAAAAAATAGCCTTTTATAAGCCAGAGAGTGTAAAAAATGCGAACCTGTAAAAAGAGATGTAGAATTGGGCATCGTGGCTAAGTCCTTAATCCTAGCACATGGGAGGCAGAGGCAGGAGGATTTTTAAGAGTTTCGGGCCAGCAGACAAAGTAACAGTGAGATGGCGTCTCAAAAGAACAAGGGGAAAGAGCACAACACCACCGTACTAATAACCGCCTTAGGGTTGAAAACATCGTATATCATGCATTTTCACTATGGGTTACTTTGAAGAACTTCACACTTGGGTCTTTCCCTCACTATGTAAATACATCATATCGGGAACTTCATTTCCCCAAAGAACAGAAAATCAACTCTGCTTTCTTAGAAAGGTCATAGCTATCTTGTCTTGTACAATATCCAGCCCACCCTGGTCATCTACGCGCAGATCAAAAGAAAAAGAAGGGGGGAAAAAGACCCATTTGGAAAACGTTTTTTCTGCCAAGGGTTGTGCCCAGACAAAGGCAATGTTCGAAGTACACAAATAAGCTTTCTCTAAGGGAAATAACGTGCCAGAAAAGGAGCAGCGTGGATCAGGATTAACCGGGAAAGAGTGTTAGAGCTCAGTGTGTGAGGGCCAACAAGCGACAGGCACAGCGCTGAGATGCTCCAGCAAAAGAACCAGCAGCAGGAAGTTTCAATGGGGCCGGGCAGAGCATGCGCCCTGCACCCGCGCGGTGGCCTTATGTGGAAGGAGCACCACTTGCGAACACCAATAATAGACCAGCGGCACCAGAGAGAGAAACATGAGCAACAAGCACCTTCTTCAACTGTTTCCCCTGCCGTCTGAGCCCCTCCTCCAGCCTGCAGACTAACCACCCCACCCCACCCTGCTAATGGAAGAGTGACTTCTTCTTCCCCTAAGCCCTGTTGCCGAGATAGGGGGAAGGGATAGTGAAAAGTGGGGAGATGCTTTTCTATTATTTTGGGGGAGGTGGCGAGGAGGAAAACTATGGAGGAGGAGAAATTAACCCTCTCCTGCCCAGAGTGGAGAAGCTGAGCCGACTTCATTTCCCCATCCTAAGAGAGAATAGGGGGGTAGCCCCCTCTCTGGGCGGAGGAGCAGATCTCAGGAGTTTGGGGGGTTAGACCAGCCCTCGAGGGAACGGGAAGAGGCAGGAGTCGACTCTCTCGGGGGAGTTCCCACCGCAGGGAGAGAGTGGAGTGTCCGCCGGCCCCCGCCCACTCAGGTGGAGTGAGCAGAGGGGGCGCCGGGAGAAGATGGGCCCAGCCTCCCCGGAGACGGTGGGGAGGATTGGTGGGAGGAGGGGAGGAGAAAAGCGCAAGGCTGGCCGGAACCTGCTCTCCCCTTCCCCCGCTACCTAAAGGGATAAGGACTGGGGGCCAACACCGGCGCGGGGGACCCGGCCCCAGGGCATCTGCCGGGCACAATGCCCCCTCCCGGGCCCCGGCCCACACCCGGCCCGCGACGCCCCCACCTCCGTCCCCGCGGGGCACGGTGGCCCTAGGGGGCCTCCGCCCCGCCTCCCCAGCACCCAGGAACCCCCCCGGGCTACGCGGTGTAAAGACTCCACGGAGCCCAGTTCCCGGAGGGGACCGCCGCAGAGCCCCAAGATATCTATGGGAAGATAGAGCGCGCCAGGGCCGCTTCCCGCCGGGCGTTCGGGCCGATCGCTTACCTTCTCCGTTGCCGATGTCCGGCGGCGGCGCCTGCAGCACCCGCTCCAGCTCTGGGAACGGCAACTCGGGCAGATCCAGCAGCGGTCCGTAGCGTTCCAAGAAGGAGCAGACTACGGCGAAGTTGGGGCACGAACCCGGGCAGCCCGGAGGAGCCATCGCCGCTGCCGCCGCCGCCGCCGCCGCCGCCGCCGTCGCCATTTTGAACTGGAGGATGGAGGAGGAGGGGATGGGGGGGGCGGGAGGAGTTGGGGGGCCGAGGAATGGCAGGGCAGCCTTACGGACGACAGGAGGCGCTCTCGAGTGGACGCCCCTGCGGATGCGAGCGTCTCAGGCCAGGCGCCGCGATCCCACAATACCACGCCGGCCCGGAGCAGTCGAGAACTGAGTTAGATCGGGGACAGAGAGGCGCTCTGGGCCCCTTCACTTTCCGCCCTCTTCCCGTCCCCTTCCCTCTTTGACTTCTCCCCTCCCACTTCGGGGTTGCCACTGCCTCGTGTGACAGGGGGAATGAAAACAAGGGAAGCGGGGCGGAGAGGCGGGCTGCGAGCCTAGGGGCGGGACTTTCTGAGGGCGCTAGCCAATGGGGAGAAAGACAGGGGCGGGGCTTTAGTTGCCTGCCGGACCGAGGACGGTTCCAGGCCTGATAGCTGAGCGGCAGGGAGCGGTAAAGCTCGGAGCTGACCAGAGGAGCAACGGGGAACAGAAGCGCTGCGTGAGTTTTCTGCGGGACCTGGGAACGGAGACGACCAGGAGAAAGAGGGAGAAGTTGAACAGAGACACCAAGACGCAGAAAAAGAGAATGACGGGTGGGAATGCGACTCTGGGGAGAGGTTAGGAAATGTGGAAAAAGGTACGGTTGTAGCTTGGCGCGGGACCACGGAGAAAAGTCTCTCAGAAAGTTGCCGAGGGCTGTTGCCCTCTGCTGAGTGTTGTGTGACGGAACTTTTCCTGGGGAGACACTACACAGATCTACTCACCGCAGATAGGGCTCCCACAGACAGATCGAAGTACAGACAGCTCCAGAGTTCAACTTGGTGAACAAATGAGTTTTATTTTTACGTGAGTATGGGTGAGGGGTTCTTTACAGGAGCAGAAACGACTCAAAGACAGCAGCATTACCAAGGCCCACCCCAGCACGGGTGACAGCTCACAAAAGCTGGGAAGCTTGGAGCACCCTGCACAGCCTGCAGGCAGCTCAACAGGTTGGAGATTGTCGTTTCCAAGAGACTCTGGTCTGAACCTCTTCAGCTGGTGGTTTCTGCTTCTTCCAGGCAGCTGGCCTGATCTCAGAGTCTTAGCTCAGCTTGTCTGAGAGGCTTTTTTGCTGCTCAGCTTCCTTCTGTCTGAGAGGGGTCTCAGCTTTTATTACTTACTCTGGCAGGGAGGGACCTAATGAATCTGGTCAGTTTCAGGGACTTCCTGAATCCGTTTTGAGTTGTTTTATGTTGCTGTTTAAAGAGCTTCCTTGCGAGTGGAAACCCTTACACAACACTGAAGCACAAGAATCCCAGCAGTCCCAGGGCTCTGCTGGTGGTGGGGAGGGAGTGGGATCACTAGTGGTGACTGCGGAGTGACAGGATCTAAGAAACCAGGCTCTACTGAAGGTCCAAGATGCAAAGACTCTCGGCTCAACTCAGGCTCTGAGGCATTCTAGATGACTTGAGCTAAGACTCTACATGTAGGTCGGGGAGTTGGTGAAATGGCAGGCAGAAAGTTTGCTAGGAAGTGGAATTCTACTCCATTGAGGAATAAGATGTGGCATCCTCCCAGAAAGAATCCCAGAGCAGGGGGAAAAAAAGTCACCGACAATGGAAAATACAAGGTGCTGCTTGGGAAACAGTACACTGTATACTAGGAGTCAGAACTTTGAATTGAGCCAGACCTGAGTCCTATAGCCTTCTGAAGTTACTTAGTTACTTTGAACTTCGGTAAAGTATCTAGACCAAGGATTATTCACAATAAAGTGATTAGTCATTCCCTGCCACATTGTATGTGCTTTGAAATAGTCCTTCTTGTCCTGGCAGGTGGCAGATACTCTCCTTTAATGTCAGCAGACAGGGCACAGAGGCAGGAAGAGCTCTAGTCAGGCCAGATAGGGCTACAATGTGAGACTCTGTTTCAAATAAACAAATCTTTCTTGTTATCAAAAAAAAAAAAAGATGTTCCTATAATTTAGATGGAATCCAGTGATATTTAACCTTTTTTTTTTTTTTTTTTTTTTTGGTTTTTTCGAGACAGGGTTTCTCTATGGCTTTGGAGGCTGTCCTGGAACTCGCTTGGTAGTCCAGGCTGGTCTCGAACTCACAGAGATCCGCCTGCCTCTGCCTCCCGAGTGCTGGGATTAAAGGCGTGCGCCACCAACGCCCGGCTTTAATCTATTACTTTAAGCCAATGTTTTAAGTGTGTATTTAAAACCTATATATCTACTTCCAAAAACTAACACAAAGCAACATATATTCTGAGTCATATAAAATAAAATGTGTGACTAAAGAAAGATTTTTTAATTTATTTATTTTTATTTGCATTTGTTTTTTGCCTGCATGTATGTCTGTGTAAGATGTCAGATCTTGGAGTTACAGACAGTTGTCAACTGCCATGTGAATACTGGGAATTGAACCCAGGTCCTCGGGGAAGAGCAGTCAGTGCTCTTAACTGCTGAGCCATCTCTCCAGCCCCAAGAAAGTTTTTTTTTAATGGGCAGATAATTATTCCAGGAACATGAAAAATGGCTTCACAGTTAAACACTGAATTTTGTTATGCATTTCCAGGTAAAAAGAGGAAAAGCCATAAAGCTGTGCATCATTTTCTTTATCAAAGAAACTCGTTGTTTTTTTTTTTTAAGAGAAAAAGGTTTCTCTGGGAGTAATGATTCTTTTAAAATATTGTTTGTGTGTGCAGACATTTGTGCTACTTGCAGGTCAGAAGACAACTTTGTGGAATCACTTCTCTCCTTCCATCTTTTTTTTCTCTAATTTATTTATTTATTATGTATACAGGATTCTGACTGCATGTGTACCTACATGCCAGAAGAGGGCACCATGTGTTGCTAAGATTTGAACCCAGGTCCTCTGGAAGAACAGCCAGAGCCCTTAACCTCTGAACCAGCTCCTTTCACCTTTTATGTGTGCTCCAGGCATTGAACTCAAGTGGTCAGGCTCACTCGGCAAGCACCTTTACCTACTGACATCATGATGGTCATTTACCTACTGACATCATGATGGTCACGTATATGCCTGTGTGCCTGCCTGAGTTTATCTGCACTGCATTCATGCAGCTGCCCTTGGAGGCAAGAAGGCATGAATCCCTTAAAATTGGAGGAACAGATGTAGGTGCTGGGAACTGGACCCTGGATCATCTACAAGAGCAATAAGTACTAACTGCTGAGCCACCTCTCTAAGTCCTAGAATAATGATTCTTTTTATCTTATCTTTACACAGGGTCCTGTGCATTTCATTCTGGCTCCCAACTTATGTAGCCAAGGATGGCCTTGAACTTCTGATCCTCCTGCCTAAACCTTCCAAGTATTAGTAATACTGGTGTGTACCAACATACCCAGTTTGCTTGTATTTTAAGGCTGTGTGTGTGTGTGTGTCTGTGTGTTTGTGTGTAATTCAGAAGAGGACATTAGATCTCCCTGCCACTAAATATGAGTGCTAAAAACCAAACATGGCTTCTCTGGAAGAAAAGCAAGCACACCGCTGAGCTCCTGTAGTCAGACTTTCCTTTGGACTACCAGCTCACAGATAACAGCACAGAGACTTATTCTTTTTTTTTTTTTGCTACATTTTTTTTAGGAAATTACATATCTGTCCCCCCAGCCCCTCACCCTCCCATCCTCTCATGCTTCCCACCAACCCCCGAACCCACCCACCATCCACTCCAGGGATAGTGAGACCCTCCATGGGGGATGGGGATCATCAAGGTCCATCACATCATTTGAAAGTGGTAAACCAAACTCAAGGGCTTCACTTCTAATAATTTAGAAATAAAGGGACCAGACCCTCACTCAGCTCCTGCTTTAGCAGCCATGACAGGCTACAGAAAAGACACACAGGCCTCTGACACAAAGAAACTCCAGACCCCCACCCCCAGCCACCTAGATGCTTGATTCCTGGGAGCTGTTTGGCCACAAAAGAAACTCCAGGGGAGTCCAAAACCTCCCCTGTAGTCTCCAGGATATAGTTCTGAAAACTATTGGCATCTCTGTGCAACAGGCCACCTGCAAGTAACAAGACAATGTCATAGAAACCACAGAATATTCCCTCTCAGCACTGACCAATGAAAATAATTGGTACACAGGTATTTCATGCCAAAATATGACTTTGAAAAATGCTCTTGATTGTTCCTAAAGGTCAACCAATCAGAAACTAACCCATACCTACTGATGTAATCCTGTAACTTTTGTCTATAAAACCTCACAGTAGACAGGGAACTTCACTTCCTCTGGGGGCTGCTTCAATAACTAGCCAGATGGGGTCCCTGTCATGGGTGGATGAACAAGCATTAAACCTTGCTTTTGCAGTTTAGTGGGTCTGTCTTCCTGGTGGTCTCTGGGGACTTTGCAACTTGGGCACAACAGAAATATCAAACTAAGACGCCTCACACTGCAAAATGTGGGGATGGGGTGGAGAAAGGGAAACCTGGGGACCCAGCTGAAGAAAATCTAACCCAGAGGCCAGTGAGATGGTTCAGTGGTTAAAGACCTGATGACATGAATTTGATCCGTAGAGCCCAATGGTAGAAGAAGAGAACTGACTCTTGCAAGTGGTGCTCTGACCTCCACAAGCATGTTGTAGCACACATGCATCCACATGGGAAATAAAAATGCTGAAAGAAAACCTGACCCAGAATACATCCTTATCAACTTGTTTTAACAACAACAAAAACAAAAATCTAAAATCCTTTGTATAGTCGTTAATTTAAGTCAGAATTATACCTTTTTGAAAAAATTTCTTTGGAAAGAAACTTGAGAGGAAATGGGAAGCTATATTACATGTTATATAAACCTTATCAGGTTTCTGTCTTTTTTTTTTTTTTTTTTTTTGAGACTGTTTCTCTGTGGCTTTGGAAGCTGTGCTGCAACTAGCTCTTAGAGCAGGCTGTCCTCGAACTCACAGAGATCTGCCTGCCTCTGCCTTCCTGAGTACTGGGATTAAAGGCATGCCCCACCACCACCCAGCCAAGTTTCTCTCTTGACTTTCATCTGTTTGTATTTCAGACAGGCTACTCTAACTGACTATATATGTGAGGCTCCTTGAACTCCTCCTGGTCCTCCTTCCCATCTTCCAAATGCTGGGGTTATAGGGGCTAGCCACCATACCATCAGCTTTCAGCTTTTCCTTTTTCTTTGGTTTTTTGAAGCAGAGTTTCTCTGTATAACCTCTCTGGCTGTCCTGTAATTTGCTCTGTAGACCAGCTAACCTTGAACTCACAAATATCCACCTGCCTCTGTCTCCCAATCACTGGGAATAAAGGCGTACAGCATTACCACCCAACAACTTTCAGCTTTTCTAGCACCTGACTCCCATTGTCCAAAAGGTTGTAAAATAATATCCTAAAAAAGAAAAGGCTTAGGTGCGGCATGTGGCACCACCTTTAATTCCAGCACTGGAGGCAGAAGTAGGAGGATCTCTGAGTTCAAGGCCAGGACAGCCAAGGCTACACACACAAAGAAATGCTCCCTCAAAAAATCTAAAAGAGAAAAGGCTTTAATGCTGTAGTTTACTTTCACTGTACTTAATTCAGAGTCTTATCCAAAGAGAACTGATAACTAGGGCTAGAGTTTCTGCTTTTTAATCCAGACTGGAATGAGAGCAAAGTCCTTGGGTATCTGAAAATTGTATCCACCCAAAGATAAGAGGTGCTTTGCCACAAAGTTCACGCTTTCACATAGTCTGTTGTTGAAAAGAATATATACAACACATGCCACAATACTATTGCCATCTCTTGTTTTTTTGTGTGTTATCAGTTTTTAATTTAATACCAGTCGCAGGCTGTTGGCACATACTCAGCCCAGCACTAGAGAGAGAGGCAGGAGGACTTTGAGTTTGAGGCCGAAC